CCGTTCCCGCTCTGATGGTAGCTGTAGTGGGCGGACGTGTCCGAGCGCTCCTGCCCTGCTGGCTTCGAAGCCAGGTGTTAAGAGACGTAGATTGTATGTGGCGGAACATCTAAGACGTCTTCTGGGTGCAGATTGACGTGGGGGAAACCCCATTCAAACGTAAAAAGGGGTTTTTGCTGGGAGGGTGGCACAGGTCGCTGCCCGGAGCGGTTGTGGGGTCCCCGTCCCCGGGGACGTGGTCCTGCACAGGCCGCTGTAGCCAGCCCCGCTTGGGCAGGGCGGTTGGGCTGGGTGGGCTCCAGGGGTCTCTCCCAGCCTCAACCGCTCCGATTGTGTGAAGCAGCAAATTGAAGATTTCCCTGTGCGGCTTCCTGTCTTTTGAAATGGAATTTTCCTCTTCCCGGAGTTGCCCAAGTGCCCCGTGCTCCCCCGTCATTCAGACGTTCAGACAGGTTTAATTGGCATGCCAGCGTAGAGTCCGTTTCTTTTTCATGGCAATAATACTGCTGAAGTTTTCACCAGAGAGGGGATGAGGATGGGAAGGACAGCAGCATTCTGCCCTGCACACGTCAAAAAGTTTTTATTTTCATGGGAATAGGTAATAGGTAGGTACGTGCGACTGGTGAGACATTGGATGCTATTTTACATCGGGCTGCTGGTTCATTTCTCAAAACCTGAAGTGCTAAGGACGTTCGTAGCATATATGAACAGAAAAACCGGTGTGAGCACAGTGGTAGCCATGGCTTGTGGATCCCTGAGGAATCTGCAGGCTCCTCTTAAGGATCCGGCTGAAAATCCAGCTAACCTTCCCTTTGCAAACGGAAAAACCTGTATTAAGTAACTGAGCCTGATGCAGCAACTTTGCTTTGAACAAACTGTCTGTAAACTTCGCATTGGCTATCCGTTCTGTAAGTCTGGACGCATCCCGGTCCCGTGGGCTGACCTGCTCGGGGAGAGACGGGGCTGTAACTGGCCGGTCCGTACGGTTTTGCCATTCGCTGCATCTGCAGCTGGAAAGAGCCGTTGCTCTTGTCTTCTCAAAGAGAAATGCAATGCGTTGCTTCTCCGGTCTCTCACTGAAGTTCCGTGTGAAGGACTGGACATTAGTGTGAGATGACGAGGCTTTCCGTATGTCAAGTTATAACCGGGAGATGTTAAACACCTAAAGTAGAAGAGCAGGCAAAAGGGGAAAAAATATTAATGGAGAAAAATATTTGCCTAATTAAAATTCTCTGTCCTCACCCTGACTTTTCAGCCACCTTCTACTTTAATTGTAAAAAAAGAACTGGAGAGCTGCCTCATTCTCTCAGCTTATGCCTTTGACCCTGTAATCTAGCGAGAGTACACAGCTCTGACTCGGTTCACTTCGTAGATAACATGGGGTGCTTTGGTATAGGTATTACACTACTACTCTGACTCTACTGTTTTCACTTATGTCAAAAAATATTCAAACAAATAATGAGCTAGTGAAAATAGGGTAAGCAATGTTAGCATGTGCATACTGCACAGTATTGGGCTCTCTAGCAGAGTCTGTGTCTTTTATTAAACTCTTTCAGAAAAAAGCCAGTAAATACATTTCCTAAGTATAATCTCTTTGTATAAGACTTAAACTAGATTTGGAAAACACAACCAAGACATTTTCTGTAATAAAGACAAAGGCCCTTACATGGCCCTTTAATTTATGGGACTCAAGCTTTCACTTCAGAATTTATTTTTTTGAGCCCTCATGTCTGCAAAGAAAACGTTCAGCCTTTTTCTCGCTCAGAAATGGGCCTCTCTTGCTTGTGTGGAGTGCTCCTGAGAGCTACGAGAGGCTGACGTGGAAAGGAGCAGCGCTGGCGTCTCCGCTGTTGCATGGCAGGGCTCTGAAAGGTGCAGCGTGAGCTGGGATCGGTTCGGGTCCTCCTACCCAAGCACCGCTCTGCGAGGGTGATCCTTTGCTCCCACTTGTAGGCTGGCGGTGGGGAATGTCCTTTTGTCCTTTTTTTACCTCCTGGCACTTTTCACGGATTTGAATTTCTGCCGTTTGTTAGCTGGACTGCTGAGGGTGTTGGGGCTCCTGAGTGCAGGCGGGGGCCGGGCTCTTAGCAGCAGCCCAAACGCTGCGCTGTCCCCAGGGGATGGGAAGGGGCCTGGCCTTCTACCGTGGAGCAGGAGTCTCTACCAGCAAGCTGTACTCGTGCTCTTTTTGATTTTGCCTTATCTGTTAGATCGTTTTCCTCTCTCATAGAAACATAGAATCGTTAAGGTTGGAAAAGACCCTTAAGATCATC